ATATTTTAATGATTTTAGAAACATATTTGCATGCATATTTATGTATTTTTTAGGGCTATAAGTCCCTAAGCCTAGTAATTACTAATTAATGCCAGGTCCCGGATTTAGTGCTTTACATTATAGTTATCGTAGTATATATTTCATTTTGATAAAAAAGCGTAAATCATGGCTTATGATACATCTTGATCTCGATAAAACATATTAAGTATACCACGGCTGAGAAGAGGGTGGGGTGTTACTACACCTGTAACATCCCCCCTGACTATGCACCTGGTTACATATATTTTACTGTTTTGATGAACTAGAAAAAAATTACTTTCAATCGTATGCTAGAAATATTGAATTAATTGAAAGAAGAAAAGTAAAATAAAAATTGAAAATAATATAAAATGAACCTCATTTCATAATTTTAAAATTTGCCATTGTATCGATACATTGACATTATTTATTCTTGAAAAAATATTATTTTAGTTTTATATAAATAACAGAATATTGTTACTGTCTTAATATTTTTTCTGGTAATTTTGAATATTCTTTAAAAATTAAATTACTTGAAAAGTATTAAAGAAGTTATTGCCTTTTAACGCGGCTCGTATAAAATTGGCATAGCGTTTACGTATGCTCGGACCACTTTTGTTGTTTTCGAAACGATGAGAAGTTTACTCCAAGACGACAGCTGAGTAAAATATAAAACCAGACCAAACCATTTTGAATTTATTAATTTGGAATTTACTTCTTTCATTTATGCTTCAACAAGCGAATTTTAACTGCCGTCATTTTACACCCAGTCGTTATTTTTACTACCGCAATTTCCGTCTGAAACGTTTCCCATTTTTCCTAGCAAATCGATACGATCACATGTATGTCGTAAAACTTAAAAAGAAAAGAAGTTTTTATTGTAAACTTTTCATCTTTTATGCGTTACCTGAAAAGATTTTATCTCCTCGAACCGTAGTCCATGGTAATAATACAGAGCTCGGTTACTCCTATATTTATATATTATTTATATATCAGAACAAATATCTACACAGAACGTTGAGTTACATTATTTCGACCGATTTCCACTTAAACAATTAATCTACCCCAGTGTTTGATATTTTTTTAAATTTTTTTTTTTAAGAAATTTTATCATGACATTGCTAACGTATTTATTTCGTAACCTGTTGTATGTTTATAATCTTTAAAAAAAACTCTCATTCATATTATTTTATGAGGTAAAATAATATTTGTTGGTTCAATTATTGTTAATAATATGCAATATAACTTATACATTTTTCTATTTGTATGTTGAAAGCATACGCTAACCGATTAACACATTTCATAATATTTTATCTGTATTTAATTAGTAAAATTAGTAATATAATTAGTAAGAACTGTCTATTTTACGTTTTGTAATTCAATAATTTTTAATTTATTCATACATTTTTATTTTAACGTGTAAGAATATTGTAATGATTATTATTATATTATTATAATCAACAGCTTAATTGTTATAATTTACACGTAGTTTTTTCATTGATTTAATATAGAAAAAATGTAAAACAAATACAAAATATTTCAAAACTATAAAATATAATCTTTATAAAATAACAAACTGAATTATATATATATATTTACTACTTATTACTATATTATAATATATATTTATGTAATTGGTTGCTATAATACAACTCTTAATTCCCTCGAGGGTGATAATGATAATAATAATAGTAATAATAATAATAATAATAATAATAATAATAATAAGGGATGGCAGGTTAACGGCATACAATACACCTATTCATATACAACAGCTGAATTTTGTTATCAGCGACTTCTATAATAGAACATTATTGCCGGTCCTTCTCGGTTATGTAATTAAGAAAAAGAACGGCAAGTGCAATGATAATTAATATTTATCGTATAATTCCATTAAAGTTTGCGGAATTTAATAACGAAGGTCGTGTGGCACGAACAAGACTCAAAAACTGGTGTTGTTCAACAATGACAAATAGGTAATAAGAAAACATGATTTTAATGAAACATTTATGAATTGATTTTCATCCTCAGTCCTGGTCTTTACAGTCTTAGTAAATATAATATTTCATAATATATTCGTCTACCAGAAATAAGTACATATAACTATAATAAAAATATAATAATTGTATGTTGCAGAGATTTTGAAAAACAAATTTTAATTTTATGATTTCTAAATTTATGTTTTATACGTATATTTGTAATATCCAAAAATATCGGATTAGTAATATATTAGTATATTATTTGTTCCTGCAATATTTGATACTTACACCGCAGTAATGTGCTTAGGGGATACTATAAATAGCTAAATACATTGTAGTGATAAGTAAGCTGTGACTTATTGGCAACTCAGATAGTCCGCTTTATATGGTTTAATAAAGTTTTTACTTTTTAATATGAATTTATCCAATAATCCCAGTTCACGTACACTATATATTTTAATAGCTGATTATCTATTATTTCGATCGGCAAAGGTCCAGTGAACACTTAGCGGTCTTCGTGCCATTCTGATGATTTACTAGAAACCATAATACATCGCTGTCTCGTATAGGTAACTAAAAATGAGCATTCTGTGTGCCGTGGTCGTATCGAAAACGTGACAAGTCCGTCGGTGACAATAATCATAAAGGACCTACTAAATAATAATTTAGAACCAGTTTGATGTATGTTAAAGGCAGCTTGGATGGCAACGTAGTCGCGAGAGAATTAACAGAATTGCTTGCATAACCGATGTAGATATGTCCGAGAGAATTGTTGAAACCGTTTATTTATGAGAAATTTCGATTTTCTTAACATTCCGATCAGTATCCACTGCAGATGTGTACGCGGTGCTGCAGGAAACCTCTGTCTCGAATTCTAACCTGTCTCAGTTCTTATCGACAATACAATACGACTGATTTTTTTCTTGACACAACTTTTGTTGGTTAGCAATGAAAAAGCATATGTTGGAACACAACTTCTCTGTATACATACATACTATATTTCATAACAAAATCACCGTTCGGTCGTGCGCAAAACAATACTTTTTCATGTAACAATAACATTCGCAATTCAGCTTGATCATTGAACGACGTGTTCTCGATGTTCGTGTATTAGAATCGTAAGCTTATAAAATCATCGAAACAGCCATGAGCACATGGATATACTAAACGACGTTATTAATTCAAACTAGTTAGGCAGTGTAACAGTGTTAACTGCGAAACGTCAAGTCAGTCGAAAAGTCAACGTAAATTATATAACAGATAGTAAACTCAGTCGTCCTCGGTATAAATATTCAACAGCGTTAGAACTTGAATTCCAAAAATAATGTGTAGCTAGTTTTCTTGGGCTCTCTTGAATTGACAATTTCTTAATAATTCCGATTTGTTAACATGGAGTGCCTAGTATACACTTTTGAAATTGAAAGATGATTTTTATTACGGTTGACCGAAAAATATGGTTGAAATTAAATTAAAAGGAGAAAACTTGTTTTATTTTAACATGTCTGTAAGCTGAACGATCTTGATTAGCTGATCGATTTATACTGTTCATTTTTGTTAATATTTTATTTTCGTGTAATGTATATCGCTATCTCGATAAATCGGTTCGAAGTATACTTTTGAATTGAAGATTTTATTAATTTCCAAATGTACGTCTTCGTATACCGATATTTATAAACACGAATTACACTGACAGAGAACAAATCTATTAAAATATTTCAAATTAATATATGTATACAAAAATTAATTTTCATTCGCAAGAATTTAGTGAAATGCATTTATTTTTTCAAATAATAGGTCTGTGCTGCGTATTTAAAATACAATTATTTAGATGCATAATACTTTGTAATACGCTTAATACGTGAAGCATAAATTATTGTGCGTGCACATAATAAAAATCTGTGTCTCGAACGGAACATATATTTATTTATTTTTTCATCCTATCCACGATAAATTATTGTATTTTCAAGCTCTACCATGATGTTAAAATATTTATAGGAAACGGATTGTAGGGACATAAATTTTAAATAGCTGGCGACATTTCAACATACTTCCCAATTAAATGATTCAATGAGCTGGAAAGTTTTCGAATAAAACTTGTTGAAACGGTGAAAATATATATGTATAGTTATATCCTTGAAAGAATAATACAATGCACTTACCGGTTGTGTTTCCCTGGGGTTCGGTTATTGCTGGTGGCGCAAGGGTAGCAGTTTACTGGATGAAAACGATACATTCGATGTGTTATAGAAAGTAGAGCCTATTCGAAGAACTGCTCCGGTGAAGGTCTTTTTTTTCCATTATTTATTTATTTATTTTTTTTTTCGCCGCAGTATAAAGTTTTAAAGATCTTATTATTATGCTTGTCATCCACATTCATCGACCATTTAACATTGTACTTAACATTGTTATACGACTATTGGGTTGCGTTTCACGTATCCATTTAGCCCCCTTAGACTGTGCACAAAAACGGTGGTGTATAAGTGCTTAACCATTTACCCGGTATAACGGCTAAAAATGTAGGTAGGGATTGCATTTATTACATACTTCATATCATAATTAAATACAACATAAAACCCTCTGAGGAGCGCGAACGGGATTCCAGTGGAACGTATTGTTTAATAAAAAATAATGAACGCGAAAAAACGGTGACGAGTTATTACATCGATCTCCGATCGTATAGGCCGTCGATCGAATACCATATTTCATCAACCATACTAAAACTTAACGTTGGCCACGTCCGTCAACAAAATTTCTATTTTCGTTTACAAACATTGCGTCGTACGTAACGTCGATCGTTGTAAATATTTGTCGTCGTTCTATCGCGTTTAAGCTACGCACGTATAGTACATAACTGTCGATTCGCGTTATGCTTATTCAACAAAAGTACACTGAAATAAAAAAAAAAAAAAAAAAACCGATCGATTATTCCGCATCGGACGTTAAAATATACATTATTGAAATCGACACATCGTTAATGCGAATGTATATGCGTTTGGTTTGCAGGGCGTCGCAAAAACTGAATCTGAACGGTTCGCCGCACCGGAGAAAAAGGCGAGGATCTCAAGGAGAAGATGCTTCGCACGGATTCGCCAGCGGTCTGCACAAGCACGCGCCACCTCTCCCGGCATTGCTGCAACGACGGATCGCCGGCAAAGAACTCACTGGCGTGGGCAAGGTAAGATTGTACTGCAGTGCAGCTGCTCCTGAATAATTTTTTCTTTTTTTTTTTTTTTTTGTTCATAAGCCATTTCGTCGTGTAGTTATAAATTTCTACGTAGAAACTGAAAAGTTATACAAAAGTTATACAAAGTGCATAGATTTCGATTTGAACTTCTCTTAGAAGATTCTTGTACCTGATAGTGATAAATCCATGATCGAGTGTCTTAGAAAAATTTAGCGTGATCCACAACGTTTGTTGTGTGCAACGGAAAAAAATTAAAATACATTCAAGTATGTTGATTTCCGCCAAACGCAATTGTTAATATCAACAAATAAGATCGTCGTTCGTAAAATACCTAATAATAAAATCGAAGAATTCAATGATGTAGATGGTGGAGGGGGGGGAGTCGTAAAAGATTAACACGTGGAAAACAGTGAAATGCGTAATATTATGTAATCAAAGCTCGTATTTTACTTGCTCGCGAAATACCGGAGAATATAAACGAAAATAAATCGACGTACACTGTTGATTTATGTCGAAAACGTGAAATGTTTAAAATATATATATTTTTGATGACAACTTTGTACATTCCGTGGTAATTGATGGATTAGAACAAGTTTAGTACTTTTGAAACGCCACGGCGCTGAACACGATTACCGCATTAAATTATTCATAAGGTCAGTGGCGGTGCAATACGGTCATCACGTGTTCAACGACACGGGTGTACGTCTTGATGAATTTTTAACACTATATACCTTTGCTAGGTTTCCAAAAGCGCGCGCGTGTGTGTGTGTGTCTGTAGAAAAAAGGTTAAGTGAACCTATTTTTTTTTTCTTCCTTTTTTCGGGCTTATACCGTGCGCAATAGTAACGCAGCCGTGTAGTATCGATTACTTAAATTGGAAAAAATCATCTTCGCCGCCGTCGTCGTACGTAAACAGCACGTAGTAGTAGTGCCAAATCCGTTTCGCGTCCGGACGGTGTGACGGTTTTATTTATTTGCTCGTGGGCTAACGCTGATTTGTAAGGCTTACAGTCGCCGAACACGACACAAGGGGATTACCCCACCTCCGCCACCACCGCCGCGGCCTCGAATTTTGCCTGTCCGTTCTGTTAAAAAGCTTTGCGCGATATGTATATAAATAGGCGCACGCCGGACTCGAATCAGAGCTTTGCACCTGACGAAGAGAAACTGTTATCGGCCCTCAAACGGCTCGTTTCACGTCCTTCGTCCTGTGCACATACGCGCAACACACACAAACACATACGCACATATATATATATATATATATATATATATATATATATATCCGTAAGACCTCCGCGTGTATTGCTAACGAGTTAAGAGTTGCCCGCCCGGTCCCGCGTTCGCCTACGACGTTATCGCGCGAACGGGATTTACTGAAAAGAGAGAATACACGCGGTTACTGATTATATGTTGATTCGTACGAACCATGCTTAGCGTTATAATCAATTAAACAAACATAGACTTGATCAACTTGACGAAAAATGTCGCGCGTTACACTTTTTGCCAATTATTATGAGATAGCTCGTACGGCGGTGTGTTTAGAGCTCGTAAAGGGACTGCAATCCGTCCCTCTTCCGAAAACGCATTACGTTTTACGTCTGACCTTCTTTCAAACGTTTATGTTCACATTAGGTCCCGGATAATATATATCCTTTTTTTTATACAGCCGTATGTACAAGAATTAACGAGAATTAACCGTAACGTATTCAAATTTACAATTATTATATGGCAACTGTAGTAACAACAGAATTTGTTTCGATAATTGCTCGTATAAAATTAAATTGCTTGCACTGGACTGAAAAAAATATACATTTAAACTGCTCTGTTCTTAATGAAAGAGAAAATCGTTGATTAATTTAAGTCCGTGTAAACCGTTTAATTTTATTTTATTTTATTAGTACAACGTTTAGGAGATAATTTCTCTGGGGTAATGTTCTTATAAAATTAATATTACGGAAACTCGATTTGAAAGACGTAATGTAATTTTAAATTAATCTAATGACAAAAAAAAAAAAAAAAATTAAACGAATGGTTTAGGTAATTTGGGAAAATAATTTTAAGATATTTTTTTTTTTTTTAAATAGTGTTCGTCAGTAGTAGTATTACAAACAGACGAATGACGTTTAAACTGAAAATTACCATGGAATTCATCATCTAACCAAATGAATTTATTTAACAACTGTAAAATATTTGCACTTTTTCACTTAGAAAAAATAATACACTTTTAAAAACAGTCAGGACGTTTTATCTTATACACAATGTAATCTGATACGAAGTTATCACTATTTTAAAATATTTTGAACTTTGAGGTAAAATTATGGTTCACCGTGACAAATTATGAATTAATATTTCATGACCATAAGAAAACGATATTATATCAATGAAAATTCATCAATAAAAATTAATTCGTTTTCTATTACATCAAACGGTGTTAGTTGATAACTTACTTGTGCGATCGATGGCATAAATACAAACCGTACAAATAATTGATTTGAGGATTACGCTGGAAATCTAATTTGAAAACGTATTAGTAAATAGGTAACGTAATACATTGCTTTCCTTGTAATTTTTATTACATTCTTAGATAAGTGTCTAAAGACAAAGTGTAATATAAAGTTGTCCGGTTAAAAGATGACTGTGATCAATTCGACGTGGGACTTCCATATTATTATAGATTGGGCCCTAGAGATATATCGTTCAGATAAATGACTTGGGGCAATTGGTGAAAGGGTACATGTTCGTTAAGAACATTGTTCTTTTTTCCCTATGTAATTCGTCGCCATCCTGTCTAGTACATTATATACACATATAAATGTAGACGCGCGCACACACACACACAAATATGTATATTACGCCTGTAACCGTATAATGTACGTGCAAACTGCGCCATACTGGCAGTTATAAATTGTCGCTTGTTAAATGATATAAACAACTGGGATCCCGGCTGGGTACACCTCGCTAATGGTACGGCCAATTAACCCTTCAGGGTCTCGGAATTCGGATTTTTGGCATGGGGGTGGGGGTCGTCAGCGAGAGGTGCGGTGGTGTTAATACACGTGGGACATGGTCCTGCGGACAAACTAGAATCAGTGAGAAAGAGGAACACCTAGAACGAGGTGTATGTGAGTGTGTGATAGAAAGAGAGAAAAGAGGCTTATTTTATGCGTTTGCACAGAAAGAGAATAGGACGGTATAAAATGAAAAAGAAAACATATCCTCGTAGCTCCTTGAGGGTCTTATAATTAAAACTAAAATATTTTTCTTTCTATTGTACGTATATTTAGTAATTACTTCTTTTTTACCTTTTAAATTCATAACGAACCGTAAAAAGATTACCTTGAAACTGATGTATTTTAAACGTTCACAGTTCATTGTTATTATGATTTTAGTTTTTTAACGATATCTTCTTGGGAATTACAGAGTATAAGTTAAAAGTCATTAGTTGTTTAATATTTAAAGATAAGTCGTGTCTGACTTCTGTTTACATGCAAAGTCTCAAACAAATGGGTCTGGCTAAAAATATTGAATATAATTGACTACATATTATATGCATTTGAAATAAATCATATATTATCTTTGTATTAAAAACTTTTGCGAAATTAATATGCATTATCATAAATATATTTGGAGTTATTACGCATTTATTTTTAAAGCGTCATCCGACCGACATTATGAAGCTAATGTTTTTTTCGTTAGCCTTTTACAATAATAAAACAGTCTCGTATTATATTCTATTCACATTTACATAGTTATAACTATTATATATTTTTCAAGTCACGTTTAGTGATAGTCTCCGTACGTGTGTCGAGTATTAGGACAAGGACATTTATATAAATGTAGTATTACCTCGACTCTTCCGGAAAATAATATGATTTACTCGGCACTGAAAATAGTTTTTCTTCTTTTTATTATTATTATAGTTGTTAATATTATTATTATTACTATAGTAGTTATATTTGTTGATCATCGTTTTACAAATAAACGTAATGTAAGCGTTAATTATGGTTATACTCCTGATAGATAAACTAAACAAATCTGTTTGAAATATGACAAGAAAACCATAAACTATTTTAATGCATAGATTGTCACTATATATTTGCAAAGTTAAGTGCACTTAAAACGTGAGAATCGATCAAAAAACTTTTTTAGTACTTTATTCGTCTACAGTAATATACATAGACAAGTTTTAGGTATTTTTGATAAAATGTATGTAAAACATGTAAAACAAATTCGAAATGAGTAAACCGGTGTGTTGAAAACAAATAGTGATGGGTGGTGGGTGGGTGGTTTGAATTAAAATATTTTACATTTTTTTACATAAAAATGTGGTACTACTACATTTTATGGGTTTGTGGTGTTTCCAGTTTTATATTATTCAATAAATATTTTTCGTCAAATTTTATAATTATTTTTCTCTTTCTAGTTGTTTGATTTAAAAATTTAAAATTGTAATTTTATCATTTTCGATAAATATTGAGCGTAGGTATTTTTAAATTTTGTTATTATTGTTTTTTTTTTTTTTTTGCAACATTACTCATTTTATATTTGAGTTTTTCTTATTAAATTTCTCAAATATTTGCTAGCAAATTTTTTATACATATACCCATGGTACTAGTATGCGTTTTATGAAAAAATTCCGCACGAAAATTGATTTTATAATAATCCATAAGATGATAAATTGTAAGCCTAATGAACACACTAAGTTATTATTATACTATTTTTGAATTGTTACATTTTCACTTTAATAGGAAACATTTTACTAAATTTTGTTTTGTTTTAGTTATCGTATGCTATATTTTGGCCAATGCGTGGAATGCAGATTCAGTGATTAATGAGACCTCGACATATTCGAACTAACGTTATTTTCCATAATGTAGTGTCTTTGGGGCCTTTTGTCTTCCCTTATCGGTAATACCACGCCCATTGTTATCGAACTTTCTCCCTTCGGCACGAACCGAACTTTGTCCACGAAAAAAATTCGATTTCCTAAGTGGAAATCGTTGCTTTATATATTTATATATAATTGGATTTGAAGAAATGAAAAAAAGTTTTCGAAAGGAAATTACAACTGTTATTCAAATTACAAAATTACTGTTTTTTTTTTTTTTATCGATTTCGAAATTAGTAAATCAAACAACAAAACCGAACACAATTATTTCGTCTATTTGCGATTCTTAATTTCATAACAAATATTCCTAATGTTTTTTTTCTTTGAAAACATAAATGTGTTCGTGTATTTTGTTTAATTTTTTAAAAAAAAAAAAAAAGAAAAAAATATTCTAAAACGTATCCCAGATATTCAACTCAAATATTTCTTCAATCTAACATTTTAATGAATTCTATTATTTTACATTATAATATTATAATTATATATTGAACTCGTACGGTGCGCATTATTATTGGTGTATGCATTACGTGAGAGTATTTGAAACGTAATTTGTGACTACAACTAGCTATAGGAAATGCGATACAACAATGTGTTTCATCAAATTGAAACGTAATAAGTTTTAATTATTAGAAACCTTCAATGACCATCAAAACTTGCGTGAAAATTAAATTTCTCGTGTTGTTGTTGGTATTTTAGAACAACCGTATTGTTATACTCGAAAGTTACGTACATCATAACCGTTGAACGTAATTGGTATTAATGCACGTATAAATATAAATAAACGTTCGCGGGAACACAATACAATCAACCCACGTTGAAGTCAATATGCATCCGGTTGGTCATCGATACGCGCGAGCACGTCCAACGTTTTCGCTTTTCTGCCGGACCGAAGCCATTAGGTGTAGCAGTGCGTGGGCGGTGGACGGCCGGCGGACCGGATTGAATTAGCGACGACAGGGCTTTTGCGGCCGTTGTTTTTGTATTATCTCCGTGATGGATTGAGGCGCGGTCCGGAGGGTCCAGCAGGGAATAGGGTCGTCCCGTGGTTATTGTTGTATTTTTATCCTACCTCAGGAGAGGTTTTAATATGACGGATAGCGTACTCGATGGATGGAAACGCGATTAGATTTTCTATTCAATTTTTTTTTTTTTATTTATCTATTTTTAATACGTTTTCCAATTTAATACAACGCGTTTGTACGTACACTTCCTTCAACTCGTGCACATGGTGTACACACCAGGTTCACATTATTTCCCGTGAAGGTATACAAAATGAACAGTTTACGTAGACATCTGTAGATTTAATTTTTCTTTACACTTGCACAGAAAACTGACGTTGTAAAATGTTAATTAAATTTTTTATTCGTTTATAAATGCATGTTCTTATTAATTTAATTATTTAACTACTTTATAAGCACGAATAAGATAATATATTTTAATAGATTATTGGTTTGATTGATTTTTTTGATAAATAAAAAAAAAATATTAATTGAATTTTATTTTTAGTATATAAAAATAACTATTACTTTTCCGAACGTAGAGAAATATATATGTCAAAACATATATAAATAGACATAAATAATACACAAAATAAAACTTAAAAACGTAATAGTATAAATATGTATGATTTTAGGACTAAACATTCAATTTAAATAATAGGTTAAACATTAAGGTAGTTATATTTACAATGAAATGTAGCAGGTATTATATTTAAAAAAAAAAAAAATGTGAGAAATATTAAATTCCATCAAATGCAATGGCCTCGGTCGAAAAGAATGCGAATTTCTTTAGTTTGATTACATTAATTTGATCTTCTATGAATCCACTTGTAGCTGCAACTAAACGAACGAAGGCTCGGTAATTAGACTGCATTAGTTTTAATGTGTTGTTTTCGTAACTCAAATTATCGAAATAACTATCCGGCACTTCCATGTTGAACATAGTTTTCATGTCGGCGCTCAATAAATCAACGAATTTCTGAATCGCCGGTCTCGACGAGGGAATCCAGTTCTTCGAACGCGTGTTTCTTGAATTACGGTAGATCTTCAACATGAACGCCAGCAATCTATTCAAATTTCTCGCAGCGTCCGTCGACAGCGTGGCCACGAAATGAATTCGGTTGATGTCGAACACCGTCAGTGGTCGCATGTACCTAACGAAGTTGACGATAAAGGTCGTTTGATAATGCTGTACGCCGCGTTTTTCGAGGTTGTCGATCAACCGGACGGACAGTTTCAAGTGCGTGATCGTCGTCCAATAGAAACAGGTGTATATGGTCCTGAACACGGACATTTGATATTCGTAAACAGCGTGCGGGTTGAACTCGTACGATATCTCGAACGATTTCAACTGCATGTCGGCCAACATATCAGTCGGCATCGATCTACTCGAAATAATGTGATTCACAAAGTCTGTCAACGCAATCCTCTTCGGGTCGAAATCTAAATCGACGACGTGGTCGGACACGTTCAGACCGCGAATGAAATCATCGGTGTCCTTCGTGTTCTTCTCCATTTCAGATATTAACTCTACGAACGCAGAGCTCTTGTACATGTATTGGTGCTTCGCCACTACGTCAATGTCACTGCACCAAGTGTTCCAAAAAGTGTACAGTTTATCTAAAATCATACTATGGACTTTTTGCATGTGCTTCTTGGCTACTGCAAAATCATCTGGCGACGTGATCGGGTCCACAGGTATCTTGTGAATAAGCACGGTGCCGAATTTGTTGTTCAAATACAAATTTAAAGCCATCAGTTCGGCCAGTCCTTCTAGTTCACCGTGAGCAAGTGTGCTCAACATATTGACCATGGTCTCACCAAACTTCCTGATTGGTATGTCGACGTTATCCGTTACACGGTCCAACTAGAAAAAAAAAAAAAAAAACGCGTATTAATAGTTTACACACACTTTTTGTTGTAAGACTCTATGATCGGGACGAATGCATCAAAAACATCTAACCTGATATCATTATCAATAGTAAAAGTAAAAAAAAAAAAAAAACAATTTATTACGTACATAAAATTTGTAGAACCGAAGCCGCGAACAAATAACAAAATCTAAGTATCCAATAATTAATTATCGATAAATACCATGTCTAAGGGATACACATCCAACACGGCATTGCTAAGCACTATATGTTTGACGGACGATTCGACAAAGACGCATCTTGCCGTTCTAAACATAGCAGCTCTCAAATTTCGTCCAAACTTGCACGACGTTATACTCCCTTTATGAATATTTGGACAATCATCTACTTCATCATTGCGTTTGTGATCGCAACCGTATATTGCCTGCAACGATGATACTATTTTTTATTCATAATAAGCGTGATTATTTATGAATAATTTAAACCGCCTTATAATAAAAATTGATAAAAACCAATTGGATTTTTAAGTTTATTTTCATTATTTTTAAAGTTATTTTAATAAAAGCGAATCTTTAGTTTAATAATACGGTGAAAATTGCTTTTTCATATAACACATTTTTGTTGAGGTTTTCTGATTAACGTTCTGGCATTGATTTATTAATGAACTATAAATACATTTTATAATAAATTATATTATAAAATCAATGGTTCAAATGAAACAAAATTATTTAAAAAAGTTGCATAATTACTTTGATTATATAATATTAAATATTCTAACAGTAAGGTATATTATATATATATATATATATATAATTTTTCATTAAATTTTAGAATTTTTTTTATGTTATTGTTATTTATTTAATATTGTATACGAACGTTATGAATAATTGTGTTAAATTTCAGCCGATTTTTTTCACTTATGATTTCTCCATTCTTGTTAACTATAAATTTAAAATGTTGTCTGAATAATTCTTGCCAAATTTCCAATTTGACATACTCCTTCAACTCCCATTCAATATCCTCTCTACATTTTGATTCATATGTCTTATTCGCGTGTGTCTTCCAAATTGTTACTCCTACGATTATTGTTAGGAAAACTACTTTAAACATTTTCCTAAATAAAGAATATAACATTTACTATAAAATCTGTTGGTAATATTGTGTTTTAAATTAAGATCATGTTATTAATATAGCTAAGTTGTATTATACGTTAATTGCATCACAATGAACAAAAAAAAAGCTATAACATATGTTTTAGACACATTGTAAACTATTTTTTCTGTTATAATAATTTTGTTAAATTATTCTTATATTATTAGTTTCTTATACGAGATAATTACATATAAGAAATTGAATGGCTCTAACAGTATTTTTAATGAACTTTAAATTTTAAATCTATTAATTAAGTACTGATTTAAAGTTATGACCGATAAAATTAACATATTTTAACTTTTTTTAGATATTACATATTATGAAACCAGTGCCATAACTACCCTTGCCGAATTTTATTATTGCACTTATTTTATGAGAAAAAAATTTATTTTAATTTAATCCAAATGCGCCCCCTTACTTTGCTGCGTCCTTGGCAACTGCCCATTTCACCAACCTCTAGTTATGATATTATATGAAATTATATTAATATAAATAATAATTAAATAATATTAATAATAAATGTAAGGTTAAATAACTAAAATACAATACGCATAGTTTGTGGTGAAAAAGTTATCGTGTTTAAATGTACGTTTAAGCATTATTAGATTTTGTAAAGTATTCGATCCTTACACGTAATGACAAAAAAAAAAATGGTAAAATGTAAAAATCGATTATAATTAATCTGAATCCAATCTCACCTGAACCTAAATAACGTATTTAAAATTTAAAACAAGGCGTTTTACGGTATTGACCGAGTTTTAATAACAATTGTGTACGTACCTATGATGTTATTTAGCCAATTGGATTTTAAACGGCAGTAACATGCATTCTACTACGCGCTAAAACATAAACTGATTAAATGAATTGTTGTTAGTTACTTGGCATACCGCATAAAATTTGAACAGGTGTAAAAATTCATTGTTTAAACAACGTGCGTTCCTGGTATTGTTTCTTTAAATTTTGTCAAATTTCCGTATGTATCATTGTTATTTGTTTGTTTGCAAAATACAGATGTCAGATGTACTTATATATGGGTTGTACCTGTAATTCTCAAACTCGAATCTACAGAAATAAAATATTAAACGTTTTTTTGAGACTTTCGGTTTGATTATCAGATATATGACGCGATATAATATTGTAATGAAATGCATTTTCCATCAGGGGCGTATTATTATCTGTGTGGGCTATATTATAGGCCTAGAAAAATGTATTCCAACAACTCCTCATCTTTATTTTGAATCGAAGCGAAAAATGTCTCAGAAAAACCAATTTATAGGTGTTTCATTCTTTACCTGACAATTTATTTTACAATATGTAAAAAAAAAAAATAAACAATTCATTTTCTGTGATCGACTACTACTATGATGTCGAAACAATCATTAATAATATTTCATTAACGCAATATTTTTTTATTTTTTATCAATATTTAATTTACAATTTATTGTTTTAAAGCTTTCACTTTCGGAACCAATTGAAAACTTTATTCTTTTTTTTTTTTTTTTTTTGTATCGAACAACAGTTTTTTATTTACAATCCGTATTCACATGTCATACGATAAATGTATGTGATGATTTTCGAATGACGCGAAGGGGAAGTCGCCTTTTGACGATACCCCGTGATTAAAAACGTACGCATTATACATCCAAATTAACGGTATATTATAGTGGCAGAAATAACGTACGTATGACCACCGGAGTGGTCATACAAATATTCGTATCGTAAACGTTGATAATAGGTACGACCATAAGCGAAAAAAAAAAAATACTGTGTGCAACGATAATACTGCAACTGTGTGCGCGCGACTAAAATTACGTGTGGCTCGTGCGAGCACGTTTCAAAAAATTGGTCCGATTGCGAAGGCTTTCGATTTATTGTGTACGATATTCGCCCGAGCTTATGCAACAGCATAAGCGCAAAATATTAACATACTAACGTTCTGTCACATCGCGCAGTCGTTATTTATCGTTTGCGAAAACGGAGTGAAGATATGTGTTCGTTGAACCGTTTGTTCTATAATTTATTTACAGATATTATAAATGTAATATATTATAATTAAAGACCGGATACAATTGAATTAAAAATATCTTGAAATTGCACTAAAAAGATGCCAAAATTGCAATGAAATACATTAAAATTACTTAGTAAAATCATATCAAATATATAATCATTAATTACTTACTTAAATAATATTATGGACATCAATATAATATTTAGAAAATATATAATTTTTCTGAATTAAAATTTATAATTATATAAATCTTTGAATTGTGTTCTTAAAAATTGTATCGTCTGTTACTTAAAATATGATTATATAATGAAAAAGTACGTTCAACGTCGACACTTGTTATCGATGCATATTTAAAATAGTTTAAAAAATTGGGTGATGTATTTAAATCAACATTTTGATTTCCTGTCATAATCTCAGAGTGATTTTCAATAGTTTTATATCTTTTATTTTGTTCTAAGACATTTTAATTTATATTTAACTACTTTTCCATTGGGACCGGGAATATTTATAGAAATATTTATACTAAATATTTTTATTTAATTTGTATTTGTTTAGTATTTATTTATTTATTTAGTATTTATACTAAATATGTTTGAACTATTAAGTAATTGACTATTTGATTCTTCTAAACTTGTGAGTTTTGTGGATAACTTAGATAAATATAATTTTAAAAATTCTAAACTACATTTAACTACTTGTAAAAGTTTGCATCGTAGTTATTTTTTTTATGTAAAATCACTTTGGAAATAATAATTTGTATATTTTATGATGTGAGGTATACAAAAATTTCAATAATTGCAAAAAATGGAATTATTAAATTAAATAGGAAGAATGTAAATAATCTGTTTCGTATACATATTTGATCAGATTTGATTTACCGAGTATCAATAAAAAGTTGCAATATCAATTAAATCCTCTCCTTAATTATAATATTACAATACATTTGGAATATATTTATTACAGAGTTATTCTATACTTGTACTTATACTTATACTCGTTCGTAAAGCGCACGACCCCGAGTAGAATACTATACCGACAACAGTATGCGTTCGTTGTAGGTTCGGTGCATTCGTTTTTCTAACGATTCCGATGGTGCTCGGCTGCGGTGATAAGAATTTTCGTAAAACTTTCCCATACGAATTATTTAGTTTCTAATGAACTGAAGAAAATTACCAACATGCGCGATTACACGCGCGGAAAAGCTATTTCATTAATCGAACGCGATCCATACATTTTAAAGTTATAAGAACTTATGGGAGCTCTTTGTGTATTCAACCCGTCAACCGTAGTGATCGGAATAGGATTTCTGAAAATTCCGTCTAGAAACTATTTTAACGTTTTGATTTAAATTCTACAATACCTTATTAATTTTAAGTTTAAGTCTTAAACCACCCTAACGCACAAACACCTAAAATTTTCCAATTGCATAGCATTAAATAACACAATATATTTTTGCATAATGTGAAATATCAAGAAAACCCCCCAAAAAAAACGTTAGTCAATTATAGTTTTCATTTAATGTTTTAAAATATGTATTTCGAATTCAAAATGAAAGGTAATTTCCGTCATGATACTCTGTGTATACTCGTTATTCGTTGTATTTCTTCATTTTAAAATTATTTGAATAATATTTATAAATATATTTATTTATTTGTTCGAACGGCGTCCAATGTATACCGAATAATACATTATCATAAAAAAATAAATACAATGTCTTGAACGACAAAAATAATAATAGCGAATAAAAAAAGAAATTGTAACTTAGTTATAATGTCATTTAAAACTGTCAGGTGCTGAGTAGTTGAGTATTTCAATTTGCTCCTCCTTTCCACAATTCTTGTTCCGAAAACCTCTTTTAAATTAATTATCCCTTGCGTATTTGCAATTTAATCATGTCCTCACAGTATTTATCTGCAACAGTAATACATTATTATTATAACATCGACCTGAATTATAATGACTGAATAAATAAATAAATTTGTACACAATATACCTATATATATATAAACAAACAAAATTGAAGGAATAAGAGGAGAAAAGTTCAAAGGGGAGGAATTACATCAGTTCGGGGAGGGATGCAGCTTGATTATATGATCGCAAAATTGATGAATACCACCGCGACAGTTTCTTCGACCCTTATAACCGGAAATGGCTCTTGAAAATTATTAACGAGGTTATTTTGGACCTCGTATAGCTTTTTGGTTCACAGATTTTTTTCCCTTTATTTGTTGATTTATTTTCTCGACGAATTTTCATAATGTATATTATAACATGAATAAATATCGAGGGTAGATTATCGACGGGGGATGGATATAGTGTTATTTGATATATTTGTTAATTTTAATCATAACAAATCGTCGTCAAATATGTTTTGCGCATAAACAATACCTAATACGGAAGTAACTAAATATTTGAAATTTTTTTACACTAAATTATAGTTAGTATATTATTCAACACGGTTAATTTTTTATAAATAATTTATGGAAATGCTCATAACGTTAACATAGTTAATAACAAGCATGCGCAGTTATAATTTATTTGCATAATAGTTTAAGTGTCACTTTCTTATTTTTTCACAAATAACTTAATTTTTTATGTTTCAACTTATCAGTAGTAAACATTTTGTATTCTCAACATTAAAAATTAAATATTTAGGTATATATATTTAGTCACACTAAATGTAGAACATTATTATACATAGTTGCTGTTAATTTGCATAGTGTTTTCCTTAAAATTAATTAATTACTAGTTTAATTTTCTCTTTTTTACTGTGCAGCTTATTCAATTGATACTTTCCTTAAATTAAAATAAACTTAATTCATAAAGAAAAGAAACCAGCCAACTCTTTTTTTTAACAATGAAGTAAAAAAACTTTTTTTTTAAACGAATCTATTATTATTATTATTTTTTTTATCAAATTAATTTTATTTGATTGTTTGAACTTTTTTTATAGCTATATAATGTGAAAAATATTTTAATTATATTGTGGTAAGTTTATTTAAGCAATGCAATATCAATGAATGTTCGTAACATAAATGTATTAATGTATCAACACAAAAATTTTTACCTGTACCGCCGCATTTATACGAGTTTTATCTGAATAAAAATATCAATTAAAACAAATCATTTGAATTCAACTACTTTGTACAACGTTATTTATACATAAAGGTAAGTTAAAAACATTTACGTGAATTCTATTGTCATTGTTAGATAAATGCTACAGTTTTGTTGGCTAACGAATAATTTTATGTACAATATGTATATTATGTAATAGCATTGTATCATTTAAAAGCTTTTAAAATAAAACCAAATCAATACAATAGCATACGCATAGGCAACAAACATTTAAAAATATTGTGTTGCGGGACATATGGGTTTGAATTTCGTGATATTTGAATTGGTTTTATTTGAAATCACATATTTTTACCCTTATGTATAACACCTTCGGATATATTTGAATTTAGGAGGGGGATCACTGATAACTGCCGATTTCCAATGCAGAAACCCTTATTTTTCATTTCAAAATAAAATAACTATTCGGAATATACGACCGTCCGCGATAGAAGGGACTGTTCTGAACTGTAAAAAATTACCCGCGGTAGTTTGAAACGTTCACAATTTTTTTTTTTCTTTCGCGTAAATAAATCCCCGTGATGAGATGGTGCGTAACTTAGGGTTTCTGTGTACGACTGCGGTACTACGTTTTTTTTTTTTTTTCGAACGTTCGTCGCAATCGTCGACGACGTAGTCGTGAGTAGAAAATATTTTTCTAAAACGGTTTTTTTGTACATACGTGCAGTTTGATGCAACATCATTGCAGACCATTGATATTTTATTGATATGTTCATGTGGGCGCTTATTATAAAACGTCA